GAAGGAAGAAGAAGAATCTGAGAAGCTAAAACAAGAGGAAGAGGAGACAACAGCGTAAAAAGGAAGAAGAAGCGGAAAAGCTGAAACGCGTAGAAGAGGAAGAGAAACGCAGAAAAGAACGACGAGGCTAAGAAACTGAAGCTGGAAGAGGAGGAGCGTAAGAAAAGGGAGGAAGAAGAAGCTAGAAAACTAAAAGAAGAAGAAGACCGAAAGGAAACGGAAAGTTAAAGGAAGAGCAAGAGCGCAAGAAGAAGGAGAAGAGGAAAAAACTAAACAGGAGGAAGAGTCGCGTAAAAAAGAAGAGGCTAAGAAACAAAAAGAGGAACTGGAAGCACGCAAGAAAGAAGAAGAAGCTAGAAAACTGAAAGAAGAAGAGGATCAAAAGCAAAAAGAGGAAGCTGAGAAGCTAAAAGCAGAACAAGAGCGCAAAAAGAAAGAAGAAGAGGACAAGATAAAACTGGAAGAAGAAGTACGCAAGAAAGAAGAAGAGGCTAGAAAACTGAAAGAAGAGGAAGATCAAAAGCAAAAAGAGGAAGCTGAGAAGCTAAAAGCAGAACAAGAGCGCAAAAAGAAAGAAGAAGAGGACAAGATAAAACTGGAAGAAGAAGTACGCAAGAAAGAAGAAGAGGCTAGAAAAACTGAAAGAAGAGGAAGATCAAAAGCAACAAGAGGAAGCTGAGAAGCTAAAAGCAGAACAAGAGCGCAAAAAGAAAGAAGAAGAGGACAAGATAAAACTGGAAGAAGAAGTACGCAAGAAAGAAGAAGAGGCTAGGAAACTGAAAGAAGAAGAAGAACAAAGGCAAAAAGAGGAAGCTGAGAAGCTAAAAGCAGAACAGGAGCGCAAAAAGAAAGAAGAAGAGGCTAGGAAACTGAAAGAAGAAGAAGAACAAAGGCAAAAACAGGAAGCTGAGAAGCTAAAAGCAGAACAAGAGCGCAAGAAGAAGGAAGAAGCGGATAAACTTAAACAGGAAGAAGAGTCACGTAAAAAAGAAGATGAGGCTAGAAAACTGAAAGAGGAACAGGACCAGAAAACTGAAGCAGGAAGAAGAAACACGCAAGAAAGAAGAAGAGGCTAGGAAAGAAAAGGAAGAGCAGGACCGAAAGCAAAAAGAGGAAGCTGAAAAATTAAAAACTGGAAGAAGAAACACGAAGAAAGGAGGAAGAGGTTAGGAAACAAAAAGAAGAAGAACAACAGAAAACGTAAAAAGGAAGAGGAAGCTGAAATACTAAAACAGGAAGAAGAAGCACGCAAGAAGGAGGAAGAGGCTAGGAAAGTAAAGGAACAAGAAGATCGAAAACAAAAGGAACTGGAGGAGAAGTTAAAAGAAGAGCAAGAAAAACTTAAACAGAAGGAAGAGTCACGTAAAAAAGAAGAGGCTAAGAAAACAACAAGAGGAAGAAGCCCAGAAACTAAGCAGGAGAAGAAACACGCAAGAAAGAAGAAGAGGCTAAGAAAGAAAAGGAAGAGCAGGACCGAAAGCAGAAAGAAGAAGCAGAGAAATAAAGGAAGAACAGGCACGTTTGAAAAAAGAAGAAGAAGATCGAAAACAAAAAGAGGAAGCTGAGAAGTTAAAGGAAGAACAAGAGCGTATGAAGAAAGAAAACGAAAGGTTAAAACAAAAGAAGAAGCACGTAAGAAGGTCGAAGAGGCAAAGAAACAACAAGAAGAACAAGAACGCAAGGAGAAAGAGGAAGCTGAAAAACTGAAACAGGAAAAAGAAGCACGCAAAAAGGAAGAAGCGGCTAAAAAACAAAAGAAGAAGAGGATCGAAAGCAGAAAGAAAAAGAGGAAGCTGAAAAAGTGAAACAGGAAGAAGCACGCAAAAAGGAGGAAGTAGCTAAAAAGCAAAAAGAAGAAGAAGATCGAAAGCAGAAAGAAGAGCAGGAACGCAAGAAGAAAGAGGAAGCTGAAAGCTAAAACTGGAAGAAGAAGCACGCAAAAAGGAGGAAGTAGCTAAAAAGCAAAAAGAAGAAGAAGAACTCAAAAAAAAAGAAGAAGCTGAGAAAACTGAAACAGGAAGAAGCGGCTAAAAAACAAAAAGAAGAGGAAGAACGCAAGAAGAACGAGGAAGCTGAAAAAATAAAACAGGAAGAAGCACGCAAAAAGGAGGAAGTAGCTAAGAAGCAAAAAGAAGAAGAAGAACGCAAGAAAAAAGAGGAGGCTGAAAAAGTAAAACAGGAAGAAGCGGCTAAAAAACAAAAAGAAGAGGAAGACCGAAAGCAGAAAGAAGAACAAGAACGCAAAAAGAAGGAAGAAACAAAAAAACTGAAAGAAGAAGAAGCCCGGAAGCAAGAGGAGGAGGCTAAAAGACTAAAAGAAGAACAAGATCGAAAGAAGAAGGAAGAGGTTAGGAAAAAGGAGGAAGAAGACTCGCGTAAGAAGGAGAAGAGTCTAGAAAATTAAGAGAAGAAGAAGAAAGGAAGATGAAATTAAAGCATGAGGAAGAAGAACGCAGGAAAGCTGAAGAAGAAGAGAAACTGAAACAAGTGAAAGAGAAATTGCAGAAAGCTGAGTCGGATACTTTGAAACAAAAGGCTGAGGAATTGCAAATGAGGAAAGACAAGCGGAAATTGCAACAAGAAGAGGAGGAACGTAAGGAGAAGGAGGAAATTGAGAAACGGAAGCAAGAACAAGAGCAAAGGAAGAAAGAAAGAGAGGAACGCACGAAGAAAGAGGAAGAAGAACGAAATAAACGAGAGAAGAGGAACGAAAACGGAAAGAGGAAAGAGCAAGATTAAGAAAGGAAGAAGAGGATCGTAGAAAAGCTGAGAACGAAGAAAGGCTGAGAAAGGAGCAGGAGAAAGAAGAACAAAGACGAGAAGAGAGCAAGCGTCGCAGAGTGGAACAAGAGAAACAGATCAGACAGGAAGCTGAAAAGATAAGAAAAGCTGAGGAAGAACGATTGAAAAACGAGGAGGAAATTCGAGAGCGCAGAAGGAAAGAGCGAGAATTGAGGAGACGAGAAGAGGAAGAAAAAATGCTGAGAGAAGAAGCGGAAAGGACAAAGTGGGAAGAAGAACGCAGAAGGAGGAGAAACGAAGCCGAACGACAATGGAAGGAAGACGAAGAGGCTATGAGAAGAAAGGAAACTGAACGTCTAGAAAGGAGGAGGGCCAAAGACCGTCAAAATAAAGAAGAAACAGAACGTTTGAGAAGGGAGGATGAAGAGAGGAGGCATCAAAGAGACGCGGACAGGCAAATGAGGAGAGAAGAAGCGGCCAAAGCGTTGAAGGAAGAAGAAGAACGCTTGAGAAGACGACAGGAAGATGAGACGTCTAGACTTCGAAGGCGAAGACAAGAGCAAATGAGGGACGACAGTTGGTCTCGAATGCGACAGACCGAGTCTGATCAACTGTTGAGAAAATGACGGAAGACACGCTCAGAATGGGACGACCCACCTCCACGGGTATCTCCTCCGACGTAGAGTTTTGGAGAGACAGACGTGATAAATCTTACCGATACGATTCTGGCTTCGAGTCTGCTCTATCCAGTACTTCCAGGTCGTACAGTTGGAGAGATTCTTTGACGACTTTGACCAAAAGGAGAATCGACGATTTCCTCGATTATAAATTGAAAGATACTTCGATCGACAGATATTACTTCGACGCTGGCTCGTACTATCGAAGAAGAAGAAAAAGGGACGACCAAATTACTCGAGCGAGATCGATCAGTTTATTAAAATATGACGATTACTCGACCGGCGATAGCGACACGACTATTACAGCTGCCAGTTCTACGAGACTATCACGGTACAGCAGACCACAGACGACGTCTCGAACCGACCTCGATTTTTATCTACCTCCTATTAAAAGCGAGGTAACGTTTTATCTTTTATAGCAGTTATACCTTTAGGAACACCTTATTAAAATTGCATATTTATTTGCAGATTATACCGCGCGAAAAGGGAAAGAAACCATCGTTCTGCACAAGACTGACCAACAGAACCGTAGGGGTTGGTATGAGAACAAGATTAACCTGCACGGTACTTGGACACCCGGAACCACGAGTTTACTGGACCAAAGATGGCGAGAAACTCGACATAAGCTCAAACCGATATCGAACTCGGTTTGACAACGGTATGGCTTATTTCGAACTGCATGAAGCCCTCCCCGAAGATTCCGGACTGTACACCTGTGTTGCCGAGAAGTTCAGGGATTGCAACCACCGAATCCACCTTAAAAATTATCCCGATTTCAACCAACACTCTCACCCCCACCTTTACAAGATCTATTAAAGGTAAGTACTCGAAGAATCCAACAACTAGAAAATATGTTACTTTAGATGTAATATTACCGACAAGGGTAGCTTCCCCTTGTGAGCAACGTCATGTCTTTATTTGTATCGTTACTACTTCCACTTGTCTCGTAACTGTGAGGAAAATCCGAAACTAAATGTGAATATTAATTTACACGTCTGGTCCCCTCAATATCTACAGCTAATATTTTCCAGAGGATCACTCTACTATTATTCAAAAAGAGTATATTAAATAATATACTCTTTTGAATAATAGTAGAGTGATCCTCTGGAAAATATTAGCTGTAGATATGGGAGGGGACCAGACGTGTAAATTAATATTCACATTTAGTTCGGATTTCCTCACAGTTACGAGACAAGTGGAAGTAGTAACGATACAAATAAAGACATGACGTTGCTCACAAGGGGAAGCTACCCTTGTCGGTAATATTACATCTAAAAGTAAAATATTTTCTAGTTGTTGGATTCTTCGAAGTACTACCTTTAATAGATCTTGTAAAGGTGGGGGGTGGTGAGAGTGTTGGTTGGAAATCGGGATAAATTTTTAAGGTGGATTCGGTGGTTGCAATCCCATGAACATTCTCGGCAACACAGGTGTACAGTCCGGAATCTTCGGGGAGGGCTTCATGCAGTTCGAAATAAGCCATACCGTTGTCAAACCGAGTTCGATATCGGTTGAGCTTATGTCGAGTTTCTCGCCATCTTTGGTCCAGTAAACTCGTGGTTCGGGTGTCCAAGTACCGTGCAGGTTATCTTGTTCTCATACCAAACCCTACGGTTCTGTTGGTCAGTCTTGTGCAGAACGATGGTTTCTTCCCTTTTCGCGCGGTATAATCTGCAAATAAAATATGCAATTTTAATAAGGTGGTTCCTAAAAGGTATAACTGCTATAAAAGATAAAAACGTTACCTCGCTTTTAATAGGAGGTAGATAAAAATCGAGGTCGGTTCGAGGACGTCGTCTGTGGTCTGCTGTACCGTGATAGTCTCGTAGAACTGGCAGCTGTAATAGTCGTGTCGCTATCGCCGGTCGAGTAATCGTCATATTTTAATAAACTGATCGATCTCGCTCGAGTAATTTGGTCGTCCCTTTTTCTTCTCTTCGATAGTACGAGCCAGCGTCGAAGTAATATCTGTCGATCGAAGTATCTTTCAATTTATAATCGAGGAAATCGTCGATTCTCCTTTGGTCAAAGTCGTCAAAGAATCTCTCCAACTGTACGACCTGGAAGTACTGGATAGAGCAGACTCGAAGCCAGAATCGTATCGGTAAGATTATCACGTCTGTCTCTCCAAAACTCTACGTCGGAGGAGATACCCGTGGGAGGGTGGGTCGTCCAATCTGAGCGTGTCTTCCGTCATTTTCTCAACAGTTGATCAGACTCGGTCTGTCGCATTCGAGACCAACTGTCGTCCCTCATTTGCTCTTGTCTTCGCCTTCGAAGTCTAGACGTCTCATCTTCCTGTCGTCTTCTCAAGCGTTCTTCTTTCCTTCAACGCTTTGGCCGCTTCTTCTCTCCTCATTGCCTGTCGCGTCTCTTTGATGCCTCCTCTCTTCATCCTCCCTTCTCAAACGTTCTGTTTCTTCTTTATTTTGACGGTCTTTGGCCCTCCTCCTTTCTAGACGTTCAGTTTCCTTTCTTCTCATAGCCTCTTCGTCTTCCTTCCATTGTCGTTCGGCTCGTTTCTCCTCCTTCTGCGTTCTTCTTCCCACTTTGTCCTTTCCGCTCTTCTCTCAGCATTTTTTCTTCCTCTTCTCGTCTCCTCAATTCTCGCTCTTTCCTCTGCGCTCTCGAATTTCCTCACTCGTTTTTCAATCGTTCTCCTCAGCTTTTCTTATCTTTTCAGCTTCTGTCTGATCTGTTTCTTTGTCCACTCTGCGACGCTTGCTCTCTTCTCGTCTTGTTCTTCTTTCTCTGCTCCTTTCTCAGCCTTCTTCGTTCTCAGCTTTTCTACGATCATCTTCTTCCTTTCTTAATCTTGCTCTTCCTTTCCGTTTTCGTTCCTCTTCCTCTCGTTTATTTCGTCTCTTCCTTTCTTCGTGCGTCCTCTCTTTCTTTCTTCCTTTGCTCTTGTCTTGCTTCGTTTCTCAATTCCTCTTCTCCTTACGTTCCTCCTCTTCTTGTTGCAATTTCCGCGTGTCTTTCCTCATTTGCAATTCTCAGCCTTTGTTTCAAAGTATCCGACTCAGCTTCTGCAATTTCTCTTTCACTTGTTTCAGTTTCTCTTCTTCTTCAGCTTCTGCGTTCTTCTTCCTCATGCTTTAATTTCATCTTCCTTTCTTCTTCTTCTCTTAATTTTCTAGACTCTTCTCCTTCTTACGCGAGTCTTCTTCCTCCTTTTCCTAACCTCTTCCTTATTCTTTCGATCTTGTTTTCTTTAGTCTTTTAGCCTCCTCCTCTTGCTTCCGGGCTTCTTCTTCTTTCAGTTTTTGTTTCTTCCTTCTTTTTGCGTTCTTGTTCTTCTTTCTGCTTTCGGTCTTCCTCTTCTTTTTGTTTTTAGCCGCTTCTTCCTGTTTTACTTTTCAGCCTCCTCTTTTTCTTGCGTTCTTCTTCTTCTTTTGCTTCTTAGCTACTCCTCCTTTTTGCGTGCTTCTTCTGTTTTATTTTTCAGTTCCTCGTTCTTCTTGCGTTCTTCCTCTTCTTTTGTTTTTTAGCCGCTTCTTCCTGTTTCAGTTTCTCAGCTTTCTTTTTTTGAGTCTTCTTCTTCTTTTTGCTTTTAGCTACTTCCTCCTTTTTGCGTGCTCTTCTTCCAGTTTAGCTTTTCAGCTTCCTCTTTCTTCTTGCGTTCCTGCTCTTCTTTCTGCTTTCGATCTTCTTCTTCTTTTTGCTTTTAGCTACTTCCTCCTTTTTGCGTGCTTCTTCCTGTTTCACTTTTCAGCTTCCTCTTTTCTTTCTGCTTTCGATCCTCTTCTTCTTTTGTTTTTTAGCAGCTTCTTCCTTTTGCGTGCTTCTTTTCTGTTTCAGTTTTTCAGCTCCTTTCTCCTTGCGTTCTTGTTCTTCTTGTTGTTTCTTTGCCTCTTCGACCTTCTTACGTGCTTCTTCTTTTGTTTAACCTTTCGTTTCTTTCTTCATACGCTCTTGTTCTTCCTTTAACTCTCAGCTTCCTCTTTTGTTTTCGATCTTCTTCTTCTTTTTTCAAACGTGCCTGTTCTTCCTTTAATTCTCTGCTTCTTCTTTCTGCTTTCGGTCCTGCTCTTCCTTTTCTTTCTAGCCTCTTCTTCTTCTTGCGTGTTTCTTCTTCTGCTTTAGTTTCTGGGCTTCTTCCTCTGTTGTTTCTAGCCTCTCTTTTTTACGTGACTCTTCCTTCTGTTTAAGTTTTCTGCTCTTCTTTTAACTTCTCCTCCAGTTCCTTTGTTTTCGATCTTCTTGTTCCTTTACTTTCCTAGCCTCTTCCTCCTTCTTGCGTGCTTCTTCTTCCTGTTTAGTATTCAGCTTCCTCTCCTTTTTACGTTTCTGTTGTTCTTCTTCTTTTTGTTCCTAACCTCTTCCTCCTTCTTCGTGGTTCTTCTTCCAGTTTAATTTTTCAGCTTCCTCTTTTGCTTCGGTCCTGCTCTTCCTTTTCTTTCCTAGCATCTTCTTCTTCTTGCGTGTTTCTTCTTCCTGCTTCAGTTTCTGGTCTGTTCCTCTTTCAGTTTTCTAGCCTCATCTTCTTTTTTACGTGACTCTCTTCCTGTTTAAGTTTATCCGCTTCTTCCTTCTTCTTGCGCTCTTGTTCTGCTTTAGCTTCTCAGCTTCCTGTTTTGCCTTTGTTCTTCTTCTTCTTTCAGTTTCCTAGCTCTTCTCTTTCTTTTTGCGCTCCTGTTCTGCTTTAGTTCTCAGCTTCCTCTTTTGCCTTTGTTCTTCTTCTTCTTCAGTTCCTAGACTCTTCTTCTTTCTTGCGTACTTCTTCTTCCAGTTATCTTGTCTATCTTCTTTCTTTTTGCGCTCTTGTTCTGCTTTTAGCTCTCAGCTTCCTCTTGTTGCTTTTGATCTCCTCTTCTTTCAGTTTTCTAGCCTCTTCTTCTTCTTGCGTACTTCTTCTTCCAGTTTATCTTGTCCTCTTCTTCTTTCTTTTTGCGCTCTGTTATGCTTTTAGCTTCTCAGCTTCCTCTTTTTGCTTTTGATCTCCTCTTCTTTCAGTTTTCTAGCCTCTTCTTCTTTCTTGCGTACTTCTTCTTCCAGTTTTATCTGTCCTCTTCTCTTTCTTTTTGCGCTCTTGTTCTGCTTTAGCTCTCAGCTTCCTCTTTTGCTTTTGATCCTCTTCTTCTTTCAGTTTCTAGCTTCTTCTTCTTTCTTGCGTGCTTCCAGTTCCTCTTTTGTTTCTTAGCCTCTTCTTTTTACGCGACTCTTCCTCATGTTTAAGTTTTCCTCTTCTCCTTCTCTTGCGCTCTTGCTCTTCCTTTAACTTTTCCGTTTCCTTTCGGTCTTCTTCTCTTTTAGTTTTCTAGCTTCTTCTTCCTCCCTTTTCTTACGCTCCTCCTCTTCCAGCTTCAGTTCTTAGCCTCGTCGTCTTTCTGCGTTTCTCTTCCTCTTCTACGCGTTTCAGCTTTTCCGCTTCTTCTTCCTTTTACGCTGTTGCTCCTCTTCCTCTTGTTTTAGCTTCTCAGATTCTTCTTCTTCCTTCTTACGCT